GTCGTAACGTTCCGTCCACTCACTGCTTGTTCCCTGCTCCTAGTTTGACGAGCACAGAACCTTACCTGTGCCGGTGACGACTCCGGTTATCACCGCTGAGCCGCATCGTTACACACCTTCACTTTACTGCATCAAACTTTCATTGCTTCACTGCCCTGCTTTTCTACTTCCTCTCCTCTTTCTCCATTGCCCCCTCATCCACTGACTGACTCTCTCTTCTCATAGCCCTCTCATTTACATGCACTAGTATGCCCCCCATCAACTAACTGACCCTCTCTCCTCACAGCTCTCTCATTTACACGCACTAACATTCCCCTCATTCACTGACTGACACTCTCTCCTCACAACTCTGTCATTTACATGCACTGACATCCCCCTCATTCCCTGACTGACCCTCTCTCCTCACAGCTCTCTCATTTACAAGCACTAACATCCTCTCCCTTCCTTCTTGCTTCTCTGTCACACTCTCTTATTAACATGCACTAACGTCACCTGATCTCTTCCTTCTTCACCCGTCTCTCTTATTTGCTTGCACTAACACTCTCATTTACCAACTTGATCCCCCCTGCTTGCTTACCCACTCTCTTATTTACTGACTCTCAAGTCCTCAAATCTCTCTCATTTACCAACTCTTCCCTGCCCAATCCATTCCACAAAACCCTCTTATTGACTGACTCTTTAACTCCTCTGTGCTGGTCTCAAACTCCTTCATGTACTGTCCCTGAGTATCCTGTCAAGCTCTCATTTTGCGCACTAACCTTGTCGCCATTGATTGGCCGTGTTGATTGACTGAATTGGCTCGCATCAACATCAGTCACGTGATTGACTCGATTGACCTGATTGACTGACTCAATTGACTGAATTGACTGACTTGATTGACTCTTTGACTGAATTGACTCGTATCAGTCACGTGATTGACTCGGTTGACTGCCTCGATTGACCGAATTGACTCGTGGTGATCACGTGATTGACTGGATTGACTGACTAAATTGACTCGATTGACTGACTCGATTGGCTCCATTGACTCGATTAACTGCCTGATTGACTTGCATCAGTCACGTGATTGACTCAATTGACTGGATTGACTGACTGGAATGACTGACTGGATTGACCGCCTCAATTGACTGAATTGACTGACTAAATTGACTCAATTGACTCGTTTGACTGCCTCGATTGACTCGCGGCGATCACGTGATTGCCTCGATTGACTGAATTGATGGTCGCGGTCGCGGTTCACGCTGACGAAATCACGGATATGGCGCCCATGAGGTCAGTCAAGACCTGCCTCTTTGAGACGATTTTCCTCCATTACGAATCTACACCGTCACCTCCCTCCGTGCATGTATGCTATCAGTCGTACGCGTGCTCATCTGGGCGCTTCCTATTCGCACCATCGCTCTCGCTCTCGCTCTTGCTCTGCCCTTCGCGGGTGTATCCGGGCATCATCATCAATCCTGTTCATTCCATGCTCGTTGTGCGCCTCATTCTACAAGTACCGTCAAGCATTGCTGCTGCTGCGATAAAGCGATGTACGCCACCAATAGACCGTGTTGCGCTCTCCAATCTATTGGGCCCCTTGCCCGGTCGTCTCGCAAGCACCTGGCAAAAGGCAGGGGACTGCGCGCAAGCGGACGATTTGCTTAAACCCCTCCCATACGTAATGCGTCGCGCTGTTCAAATGCGATATCGACGAATGGTCAATCATGCTTAACCCATCCACACCGGCGAGCCTGACGCATCGTTAGCCACCTTTGGTAATTCCTCCGAGTTCGAATAAGGTCGAGGGCGCAAGCGAACTTGTCTCTGCGACTTTGCAGTGTGAATAGCACTTTATTGACTCTCCTGTCGCTCCACTTTGCGCGAGCGGGTGCAAGATGGAGAGGTGACGCACTTCAAATCGAGTGCGCTTTGAGTCACGTGACTGACACCCCATCCCTCCAAATGACACGCCTCGTACGGCCGCAGAATGTATGTGGAAGATCCCTGCTCCTGCTCGGCTTGAGCCAGACCCATAACCCTAACCCTAGAGTTGGAGGTAGAGCAAGAAAGACAAAGTGGCACGCTGAGGAGGGGGGGGGGGGCATTCATCGCAAGGCCATCTCAATGGCACGCGTCCCACCTAACACGCACCCTTCTACTCTCGCTCATCGATAATCCTGAGACTCTTGATCCCAATTTTCGACGAGCTTAGGGTTCGCCTGCGGACGTGAATGGCGACGTTGATGAAGACCGATTAGACGCAGTTGCCACGGACTGCGCGCTGCTCAACGAGCCCCGAGTCTCGACCGCCGCAGTATCGGGCATGCGAGCACTCCACTCCACTCCACTCCACTCCACTCCACTCCACTCCACTCCACTCAAACTCGCACTTCCGCCACTCACCTTGTACTGCTCCCCAAAGGAAGAAAAGCCGCCCCTCAAGATGCGAATCTCTTGACCGCCCTCGATGCACTTTCCAATCTCATCATCCGACTCCCTCGGCTCCCGCAAAGGCTTCAGCTTGCCAGCCTCGAGTTGCGATACTCGTTCGTCAATGTAAAGTCGCGCTGCGGTTGGTCCTCTATGGCAGTTTGCAAAACCTCAGCGGCGATCGACTTGCGCCTGTATGTATGCGCATTATTTGAACCCACCTGGATTGCGAGAGCTGACAGTGAAAGACGACGAGGGGGTCTGCGGTATGCGGGAATGTGAGCATGTGGCGACGACGTTGCTTGCGACGCGGATCGCAAACTGCACTCACACTGCTCCACATCCCTGACCACGCCCTTGACGCTGTCCCTGTAGATTCGGCTGGGCACATTCTTGCAGCCGACAATGTTGCCTCCTTCGAAATCGTCGTCGCGCACGTCGATGATGGCTGTGGAGGATTGCGGATCCGATGCGTGCAGCTGACCCGCTGAAGCTCGTGTCAGCCTCTCTGCCAGCTCGGAGGCGGTGATCCACATGTTGCTGGACGGCGGTCCGGTGCGCGTCAGAAAGCTGCGAGCTTGATAGAGGGCTGTCGACAATTGTCGCAGCAGGCGTCTCTGCTGGCTGCGTGGGCCGAATGTTGATCGAAACAGATTTGGCATGCGCGGGGTGTGCGGGTGCGGGTGCGGGTGCGGGTGCGGGTGCGGGTGCGGGTGCGCTCAGCTTCACTGCGAGTCAAGCGTGTTGCGAGTGATGGGTGGGTGAACACAAGAATCGGTGTAAAGTCACGCCGCGCACACGCGACTCTTGACCCTTGACTCGCGCTACTGCCAAGCCCGCGCGCACGCTCCACCTCCACCGCACCGCACCGCGTGGACGCGGCAATGCGCATTCATTCACACGTGACGCCACTCCCGCCCGCCGAATGCGCGCTTCACGAATCACAAGTCGGTCTGTAATGATTGTCGCGTACATGTACATTCGGCAGCGCCGAGCAGTGCGCGCGTCGGGTAAGCTAGCAGCAGCACATTTCCATCGACGCCGGCACTTGATCTCCAGCGCCCGGTGACTGCTGCTGGGTGCAGGCGCTCTGGGCACCCAAGATTCGTGATTGCGTCGTCATCGAATGATCGCAGACTGACGGCGCGAGCTGCTGGCACGCACTCCTGGCACGCACTCCTGCCACGCATCTCGTCGGCCGCGTGTGCTTGGCCTACTTGAGCACAGCCTCGTCCAGGATGCCCATCTCGATCCACTTTTCGATGAGATCGCATACGCCAGGATAAGGAGCGCCCTGGGGTCCCTTGAACTCCTTAAAGTTGAACAGGTCAAACTCGGCTCCGAATGCGATAAAGTGGGCAAAGAGGCTGTTGAAGTGACCTTCGCAGCACAGGTGCACCAGATAGGGAAATTGCGCGTGGTAAATGTGGGCAAAGACGCGCAGCAGCTGCTTGTAGACGTGCTTTGCAGTCGTCAAGAACGTCTGCGGAAACTCTCGAGCTGGTGCGGTGCGTGCGACGTGGTGAAGCGGGAGCGGGGGTGAGCATGTGCCTGGTGGCATCATCCGCGCACTCATGGCCTCTCACTTACACGCCTTTGTGGGAAATGTGGCCTCATCCGACAGCAGTCCTCCCACCCAAGTCATCACATAGTCGATGTACTGCGGCGCGGGCAGCTTGACTTGTTTCCTATTCTGATCGATCCACGTGTAATCCAGTCTGCACAGCGATGGAGCACGGCGATGGAGCACAGCGATGCATGTTCAATCATCCGCTATACGACACGGCCTTTCCCTCTCCACGCCGCACGTCCCACGCCCCACGCCCCACGCCCACTCACCCCATACCCGCACTCATGGTGGGATTGTTTTGAATCGTGCAAAACTCAGTGACGACGCCGTAGAATTGGTTGAGATTGTTGAAAAAGTCAAACACTGGCGGGCGATTCCGTTTGTCAGCATGCAGAAGAGCGGAGCGTGGTCTTGTGCGCATCCACGCCTACGCCCAGGCCCACGCTCACACCC